TCGATCGAAATTGAAAGTTATTTTTAGACTTCAACGTCCATTTTAGTTGCACGAAACTGTTTCGGGGAAACTTTTGCAATATTGCGAAACAGTTTGAAAGGTCTTCGTTTGAGATTAAACTTTTTGTCATTGTCGAAGAACACTGATCGTTAAATATAGTTATTTATTGAGAACACGTTTATTATTAATGTTTATTAAAGGTTTGGATTTAAATTTAATTATTAAAAATCCTTTAACAATCTTTATTTCAAAAATATTCTTGCTTACTCACTAACTAACTAATTATACTTTTGAACACATACACAGACTGAAACTGTTGTTGCTTTTGATAATAAAAAAATAATAGATTGGAACAATACCTTCTTTTGCATACTTCGATATTCAGGCAAGGTTATTAATTACAGAAGCTATTAGAATACACTTTAATCCCTCTATAGAATAAAAGGCTACTAGTTTGATCCTGATGTACTAAGGGCAAAACTGCCCACATCTACAAAAACAGTAAAAAAAACTAAAAAAAAACTAACCCAGTAACAACCCTTCTTGGAATCGAACCAGTGACCTTCAGAAAACAAGGCGACAGTTTTAATTCTAAACAAAACCAGGGTTTGGACCGTTCCCTAAACACTCCTTAAAAATTGCAACGGCTTAGACAAACCTAAGATAAAAAATAAATACACAGAACCAACAAATTAAATTGCAAATTCATATTAAATATTTACATTATTGCCATAAGAAAATATAGTCTCTAGATGAGTTTTATTATTTTGCATCTTTACATTTGGGTCAAATTCTCGAATGATTGACGAATAACTGTTTTCATCTTTTCATACCAACCATCTAAAATTCATTTTATTGCATCAGCTTTGAATAATGCAAAAACACACATTGTACATTTTGTTCATAATTTGTGACAAAATTAATATATATTTTGTTTTGATTTTACGTCAAAGGACTTGTTACAAGGGGACGATCCAAACCCTGGCATTTTGCTCCTCTAATACTGACCTTTAGATATCGTCAATGCCTTACCAAACATATCGTTCCCTGGTAAATTCGCTAAAAATAAAAATATCCATAAATGTATTTTTAAAAGTACAGTAACTTAAATAGTAATGGCAATTGTGTGGCAAAGTGTGATAATTACGCTTCGGGAGTTGCATAAATCCTTTGTGAATAGAGAAACACAAGATCATTATGCAAATCAGGTGTGGGCGCGACGAAAATAACTTCTTGTGAAGCTCCAGTAGGGTTGGTAAGGGGTTGCCACTGTTGCCATGGTTCCCCCCTCCATACCTGGGTATTTGACCCCCTCCCACCACCCCCTAACCTTCAACAACCCCTAAACAAACGTTTTGTTCACTTGATACTCTTGTTTGGGAATCGTGTTCGGCTTTGCTTCGCTGCCACAAATAGTTTCCCCAGAATTGTGTCAACCTTTTAAAACTCCAAATAGAAGTAAATTTATACTTTATTTATAATATAACTCGCTGTCGTTTGAGAGTTCTTAATTCTCTTTGACGTCTGGTATTTTCTTATAACGATATATTTAAAGGTTTTAAACATGTTTGATATTTTTTTCGAATGTTTGATATATGAAAAATGCCCCCGCTGCAGCAAACCTGCATTAAATATTGTAAATATTGTATTTTTACATTAAATATTGTAAATAGATTATAGTATTTTATTTGTATTGTACATAGTTTTGTTTATTTGTATGTTTAGATTTGTATAAACAGGTTAAGTGTAAGAGAGGGCCATGTGGCCCTAACTTTGCCTGACTAAATAAATCATTTTTCATTTCATTTCATTTCATTTCAAACCTGCAGACTAAGCGAATTTCCATTTACCGGCTGGATTTGTACTAAATTATTTCTTTGAATTAGTCAGATTTATTTCCTATTATAATAATATAAATTTTAATGGATATTTAGGTTTGTTAATACTGTGAAGGTGTGTTATATTTAATTGTTGATAGCTTAGTATAAAATAAACACCTTTATTGTCATTTGACTTTCAATGCTATGTAGCTATATGGATTTTACTTCTTACTTAAAAAATATTTTTTTTGGTTGCAATAATTGTTCGGATTGCCACTAGAGATTTATATTTTGTTTAATTTGGCCTTAATTTGGAATAAGGTAACTTGTTTCAGCTAAACAAAATTTGTTGAATTTGATGTCTTCAATTATATTTGCTTGTTTCAGGCTGAGGTATTAGGTTGTTAGCCATATTAATTATAGAAATAATCTAAATTATTATTTATCATAATATGCTGTATTTAATGTATTATAAGATATAATATAAAATATAAAATTAATAAAGTAAATAATCAAATTCCCATAATTCAAAATTAACTTAACCTAATGATTGTGATAAATTGTTTTCTTTACTTGTTATTGAATTTTTTAAAGATAATGATGACAACATGAATATGACCTAAAGTTGGTGAAGAAAATGAATTCTTTCTGTTAATAAAAAATATTTTTTAAATAGTAGCTCATTAATTTAGGTTTTATTTATGTGGGAAAATCCCACAAAAAGATAGTTTACAGATTAACATTAAAATGTTACTGTACCTGTCAAAATAAGAAGGTTGTCAATATTGTTGTATTAAGCTTATTTGTTATAAAATGCATAGGCCTACATAAATATTTAGTTAGCATGTTCCAGTTAAGGTATACTATTTTTCGTTTGATATAAGAAATTACTGTTGCAGTTGTCTTATATGATAAAAAGCTGTTAAAACATTAAATATCATTCCATCCAAAAGGGTAGTAGGCCAAAATCTTGTAAAAAAATGACCGAACTATTAGATTCCTTAATACTCTGGTACAGCTCAGCCTGTAAGACCAGTAACTTTAAATCTCCTTTAATTATTATTGGTCGGAATAAAACAAAATGCATTTAGTGACTTTTGTTTATTTGCCACCTAATACAAATTTCACAAAGTGAGACGTACAAAAATATATACAATTTTATGCTGTACAATATATACACTATACTTACGTCAAGTAATTTGGTACATACTTGTATAAGTTAACACTTAATAAAGTATATCAATACATTTATTACTAGGATTTTACTAAGATTTAATCTAAAATGCTACAGTTAACATATAAAGTTTGGTTTCTATAAATCTACACATATCAAAGCCATAACTTATTATTACATGTTCTGTGAAGAACAATAAGGAGGATGGCTTTCTACTATTTTCGAAGTTAAACATTACACAAATGCTCGATTTACAATGTACTGACATTTACTGTAATTTAAACAGACCTACAAATAACAAAAAGACTAAAATATGTTTCAATATTTTTGTATTATAAAACCTTTATCAACTACTGAAAACTACACTGAAATAAATTACGTTATTTTTATCTTAAACGAAATAGTCAAAAGTCTCTTGAAAAACGATATACTGTACTCTGCAAAAATCAATACTGAATTTAAAATGAAAATATGGGGAATATTTTGCATTAATAAAACTTGAATATTTTCAAACGTAAGCAATTTTCCTTCGCAGGATGATAATATTCTTTTACATTTACATTCTTTTACAACAATCAAAAGTAGTAGTATTTTTAAAGTGTATTTTCAAAATTTTCAGATGTGCTGTTTTTACGAAAAATATAACAGTGAGGATTCTAAAATATTGTTGACATCCATAGAAAATTACAATTTTACTAGTTTTACTAGGTGGTGCATAAATTGTACCATTAAAGTCTCTCTAAATATAACAGGATAAGGATATAAAGCTAAGCTCTGTACATTAAACCTAATTTTATTACTACTATAACCTCTACAAAATATTCACTCTAAAATGTTATATTATTTAAACTATTGATATGGTCCATATAATTTGACTCTATACGTTTATTTTATAAAAAATATTTTTTGACAAATTCTTTAATGCAGAAAAATCTTCAAAAGTTTTACTGTCATAAAAAAGAAACTGTGACGACTTAATACTGCAAACCACTTGTAGGAAAATCCATAAGCTAATACTGCCGTACTTTCGTGATACAACATATAAATGGCGTTTTCTTACAGCATGTTACAAAAATGTTTGGCATTTGGGCATTCAAATAGCCTTAACGTATGAGTACCAAGTTATTGTAAATATATTGACGAAATTCATGATGGGAAGACAGAAATATTATTTATAATACTGGTCAGGTACTTTATTGTCACTCAGTTTATAGTTTCAAAAGGTAAAATGTGACATTAAAAGTAAATTATGCCAATGCAATTAAAGAAACGTGATATTGTAACTATATTAACCCACTCTATCTATTGTAAGGATTTCAGAAAACTATTTCCAGGATGAAATTCGTATAATGAACTTTAATAACTCATCCTCATACTACTCAGAGTCCAATTAAAAGAATACATTTTTCTATCAGTGGGTATACATGTACAATGTAATGTTTTAAATGAAAGTAAATATTCTTTGAGACGTGTTTAGCAGATAAGTGTTTTTAATCATAACGAACTACACAATGATTCTGTTTACATTTATATTACACAACACAACATTCATCTTCTAAAACGAGATGGTTAACAAACCACTTTATGTTGACTACCAAACAGGACACTTGCTATCAGTCTTTTACAAAGACCAAGTAAAACCTCGAAATAAAGTTTATAAAAAACTAATCTTTTGATTCCTCATCAAAACGCATATCGCCATAATGCATTTTTATAACAATTATAAATACAGTCTTGATGTCTACATTCTACGGCTACCACCAAGCCAATATTCTTCAGTTTCAGCCAAACCGAAATGTTTTAATATTAGTACTGTATAAAAAAATAACGTCAACCTCAGATATCTAGCATAACAATAACATTTTAAGAAATCGCAATCAAGACGAAAACGACAAGTTGAAGTGCAATGTCATGGAAAAAATATTCTTTCATTAATTTTCATTCGACAGAAAATTCGATTTCACTATTCATTCAACACATATCCTTCAATGACCTCTTTTAAATACGCACTCTTATGTTTAGGTAATTTAATATATAATAACTAGATGTCATTAGCAAAGTGATAATAACAGTGTTTTGTCGCCATATCGAAGACTTTATCTAACAATAATTACATTAAATTACTATAGTAAAAACTTTTAGCATCCTGACTTTTACCTGTGCTTTTACTATGAATGGAACTAGACATTTAATTTCCGTTTTAACTTTACAGCCAGTTTTAAGACAAAATTTCACGTAGTAGTAGAACTAAGACTCCGACAAAGAGCACTCAAGAAAATGATTTATTTCTCTCAAATATGCAAAGGTTTTCACCTAACTAAAAATGGATCTGTGTATGTCTACATCCGCATCCAAAAGTTTAGTTGAAGGTATAACAGAAATCTATCTAACAACTCCTAGTTAACAATGGTGTTATGTTATAATTCTCAAAATTGCTATATCTAATCCATATATCACCGAAGATTAAATTAAATTAGTAGTGAGAAAATGGGATTTCTAGCTCACATTTTCAAGCGTCAATTATTTTCACCTTTTATCCTGAAGTTTCAACTTCCTTCTTATCATCAACTCCCACCTCCCTCTCAACCCCAGTAACTCTTTCTCATCCACTCTCCGGACTGTCGGGAGTCGTTGAGTCACAGCTGTTTATCCAGTCCCATACTCGTGACGTCATGAGCTGCTGATCCACCGTCGTCTCCAGACCGTAGCTACTCAGCAGCTTCCGCATCCTGTTCTTGCTCTCGTCCGCCAGAGAGCGCAGGTCATCCCCAGCCTCCAGGTGGAGGTAGAGCTCCGCGGAGTTGCGCCGCTCCAGACGCTCCGGCGGAGCTAGGGCAGACGGCTTGTCTTTGTCTTTGTCCTTATCTATGAGCCAAGAGTCTTTGAGATACTTGCTGACCTGCAAAAGGAAAAGTATGTAAGTTCTTAAGCAGTAAATATGTCAATAAGCTCAGAGATCTACAAGTGGTTGTATGGAGATTTAGACGATATATTTTACCAAGCATACCTATACTTTTAATAGAAATGACGTCCTGGTCTAATTATCAGTATAGAACTGCGTGTAGTCTTAGTACTTACTAGTGCGGACGTTAATCCATACCAGGGAGTATCGCATTAAACTATCAAACCTTTGCTGGGACTAGCATAAAAACCTAAGTCAATGAGTAACCATCATGATAAAAAAAAGTGATCAAATAAACAAGGTAGGATTCATTTACGACTATTGAGTACTAGCCCAAGAAAACGTTCACAGTAATTAGAACTGAATCAAGCTAAAACCCAATTATTTTACCTCGGTAACTGAACCTCTTTTTTCCGGCTTGGCCTCCCAAATGCGTCTGAACAGCCTCTGTAGCCGAGGGGTGAACCGTTTCAGTTGGTTTGGAACCTGAAAAAAAACTATTTATAAGAATATTCTCCTTTTGTATTTGAGGTATGTGTATATCAATAACTGTCAATATGTTGTCAAAATAATTAATATAAAAATGTCAATACATGCTTAAATTACTTAAAATATTACCAATATTGTATATAAAAGAGCATGCGCGGATAAAATACACACTAGGTGTTTCTTGCTTGTCCACAAAGCAGCACTAATGAGCTAGTTTATTTGGCGCATTTGCGTGATGGAGTTGAGTTTTGGACACTGAAATATACCACTGAATAAGTATGAATATACTTGATATTTACACTAAGTGTTCAACAAAGTAGTGGAGGTTTTGCATGGTTTAGTATAGTTATCAAGAATCCCACACTACAAGCTGGCCAAGTATAAAAGCGTTTTCTTTCACTACCTAAATATCTTTTTGAAAATAGTTGGTATACCACTTACTTTGGTTGATCGTCGTCGTTGCCAAAGACTAAAGGCTCTGTACTCAGGGTCTGTTAAATCTGCACTCTTCCATGGCGGACAGCCTGAAACCCGAACAATAATACATTGAAATGTGTACATTTATTTATTTCGAACGGACATCGCCAATTACAAGAATTATCACTTTTTACAATGGAACATGTACTCTTGTACACCATCATATACTCATTAACATTTTCAAAGTACATTATTTAGGCCACGTTATAAGATGCAATGCTACATTGAAGCTCCGATGTGTGTCAATGTCAACAATTGGTACCAATCAATGTCTGAGTGATACTGATACTGTTGACATGGAGAGAATGGCTCGTCCTGCCTTACATTGTATACCTTACACCGAGTAAACTGTGGCACAATCTACAGTGGGTTCAGTCTCCACTTTAGCTTGGTACGTGAATGCTACCTAAAAGGGTAATTTTTCAACCTTAACAACACTGCCGTTTTGATAACACAATTCAATTAATTAATTGACTTTGTTTGATTTTAGAAGTATCTATGATGGGTTGTGTTGGTGCTAGTATTCGGAAGGCTACGTAGTAAAACAATTACCTTATTGTTTTTAGTCAAAGGATTCTTTTAATTAAAGAAATCCTCAACAGATAAAACAATGTATTTCCTCTTTTTTTAGAGGTTCGCCTAAAACTTAAGGTGGGTTCCAAACAATCGGACCACGGCACTCAAATTACTGGTTGGAGTTAAACCAGAAATACAAATTCAAACCCCACCCTCTTAGGCTTACTCTTATACCAACCAAAATTCCTTTTTGTGTAAATATAATCAAATAAGGCCTCAAAGTCTCAACCCAGCAGTTTATCCTTACGCTCAACAGCCAATTCGGTCTTATCGGTTTTTGATTAACGTGTAGGGTCTAATATAATTTAATAGTCTTTACTGTCTATTGTTGCTAGAATATAGAACACAATGCGCACTAATCATTCGTTAGCAAAAGCTGCTGGTGTAATTTGTCATATGTTGGTGTCAGCTGAATATTGCTGCTAGAACTTTCTTCTCTCCTTGATGAGGCATAGAGAGCCTGAGACTGAGGATGTGTCTTGAACATAAGGGTGAAAGACAGAAAACTATCTCCAACTGATGACATGGTTGACACCAAAAACACCATGCATTCTAACAATGAGCCCTATACTCTGGAGTCTGGACTGACCTGTAAGACAGACGTAGAGGACGATGCCGACCTGCCAGCAGTCAGAGGCTGGTCTGCAGAGGAACCTCTCGTTCTTGACTGCCTCACACACCTCTGGCGGCAGGAACTGATGCCACGTACACTTTACTTTGTTCACCAGCAACCCTGTACGGATAAAGCACATATTGTACAGAAGAAAACCCCACAAACTTCGTATGTATCTGATTAGCTGGACACCCCTATTAGGTTGAAATTGCAACGAAACTGAATGGTCACCAAAGAGTTTTAAGAGCTCGCCTTAAAATCAGATTGATGGTTTGAACCCATGAGGTGTTGACTCTACCCTGATAACCTTTTTAAATTGGGCTATCTATAGTGTCTCATGATAATAATCCCAGTCGTTTAAGTGGATGGATTGACACAAAAACAAGTATCTTAAAAATAAAGTCCAATACAGAACAATTAATATTAACAAAATCAGGTGTATTAGGCTGTGTATTATTAATTTTACAAGAGAAAATACCCCCTGTCGCAGCAAACCTGCAGACTAAGCAATTTTCTATCTGCATTATCTTATGTATTAAACCCGACCGATTTTCATTATTGAGGTCTAAAATTAAAGGTTTCACATCAAGCATCAGCCTATATTTATATACTGTATTACTAGACCAAAAACATATATTTGATTTATTTTTGAATTCTTATTTCAATTTAAGATGTATTTCGCAGGTTATAATTATATAATCCTATATATTTTGGTATACGAACCTTCAGTGAAATACCGGCTTTCATTTAAGCTATTATTATTCAAATCGGACGAGTTCCAAGCAAACGTAAGGTGAACAACCAACATAAAAATTATTTTTATAAGGGTTTACTATGATTAAAAATTAATAGCTCTAGTATTGTTTATGTTTTTGTATATGTTTTAGACTCAAAATAATCAGTAAATATAGGTTTTAATTTGAGCGAATGGTAGTTTGAATCAGTCAAGTTCAAGATATTGTATTACTCAATCAAAAATCATAAATTTGATTATTTCTCGGATATGATATTTATTTCAACGCTGCGGACAATGCAGCTGACGTTTTCATATATCAATTCAGTATTGTCTCCTATTCGAACTCTAAGACTGTTTGCACTTATTTCATCCAAAATTAATTAGTATACAATAAGTCATCTAACTTTACATTCGCAAAATCGACGTAATAGTGTTGATTTTTGCGTGACAACACTGACCACTCGAACCGCGTGTTTTAGTTGGACAGCTGCCACTCACAACAACCACTTGGCAACCGCTGGACAAGCAATTGATTGTTTGTTTAGTGATATTGCAAACGATACACATGGATATTGCAAATCCGACTGTAACACTAAAACAACAGAAGAGAGTTCACATAGCTTGAACCCATAAAGCTTTATTGAGCGATATTTTTACCGTCTATTGAGTCGGAAAGATATTTCGAAATTGATCAGATACGTTTCAATACTGTCCTGGAAAATGGATTGGATTTGACATTCAAATTCAATATCAAACAATCTGTTAAAAATCCATTTGTATTAACACTGCTGTATTTATAAAATTTGTTGCTCAAGTCGATGATGGATGTGAAAGTATTTCATAGATTTAAGTAACAAAATTGTGCTCTTCCGCATCTCCTCCCCTTTGCAAAGCACGCACGGGTAAAGTGGCTAGTTTATGATAAATCTTTAATATATTGTGTTTTGACGTATACACAAGTATTTTAAAAATAAAGTCCAATACAGAACAGTTAATATTAACAAAATCAGGTGTATTAGGCTGTGTATAATTAATAAACCCCTCTCCCATAAAATTTGAATAACAAATTATGAGGTAAAAATGGGTTTTTCCCATTTTTGACCCAAAAAAACATAAAATTTTGCAATTTATTTCTAAACTATTTGGTAGAGCTTAAAAAAACAAATAAAATCTATTACATAGATCTATTAACTTATCTATTAACTTATCTATTAACTATGTAACTTATCTGTTAACACAGTTTTTTTCGGGTTAACAATGGGGAAAACCAATTTTCACCCCATAAACCCCCGTTCCAATAGTCCGATCCTGCTGATTCGCGAACTCGTTTGAATAAATGTAGGTTTACACGTTTATGCCAAATCTCATCAAAATAGTAGTTATTTTGTTTTTGTCCACTTGTGGTTTCCAAGTGGATTTATAATGTATGTTTTCTTGCACTAAGCATTGCGCAATAAGTTTCAAACACTCAGTTTTTATTGTCATTTTCAGTCATCATTGTCTACAACAAATTAAATACCTAACCAACACCTACCAATCACCACAAGAAGACAATCTTTTTAGCCAAATAGAGAGTGGAATGCAGACAGATTTGAACTTGGGTGGCCATGTCAGCCTAATCTAACCTAGCAAAAGATTTTCAAAGGAACAAAATGTCGTCCTTCATTTTCTCAGTCTTTTAATTTGTTCCAAAAACGTTCAAGTACGTGCTCAAAGATTAGCGATGGCGGGGAAAAGTGATCACAGTTAACTATAGTGTTCCTACAGTTACATTATTACATTTTTATTGCAACATGTTGTTGATTCCTGTACTATATGTCCTGTATATATGTGTATAGTAAATTACTATCACAAACGTTTGAAATATTAAATGACAAGGCCGAGTCAATATGGAACTTATTGATTGTGTGATATATAAACCAGCAGATCCAGTGATGATATATTGAGCAGAGCAGCTCAGAGCAATTATAGCAACAAAGGCTCAGGGGATGGTTTGTCCTTAACTTAGTTTTTGTCTAACCTTTTTATACACTCGGCTTCATCGTAAAGCCTTTTGTCTCTAAATATCATAATTTATCATTTCATATAAATTATCTATATGTATTTTGAAGTATACTCTCAAAGTATCTTGATGTTAAGCTAATAAGGGTAGAGGTATTTTTTGAAATATGCCCGTTTAATTCAGTGACAGTTGATTCATACAATTAATTAATTAATGAAATGCAGTATTAAACTTTTTTCATATGCACTAAGATTATTCGTATTAAGGCATTTATTTATACTGACTGTATGATATGTGATAATTGTTTACCTAGTCATAAGTCAAATTATAGTTGTCAATTCAATATGTATTGCGTTAGATTAACTCAGACAATATTTTAATTTCCTTCATTGCGAGACTTTGTTCGCTTCTCTGGATAGCATTTACGTGGTTATCTCGGATCACACACCCAAAAATATATTAAAATACCCCCGCCACAGCAAACCTGCAGACTAAGCGAATTTACAATAGCCTGATTGGATTTACACTAAAATGTCTCCTTAAAAATATCTCATTTATTCCCTATTTAAATAGAACTAGTTTAACGAGTACTTAGGTTTGCTGCAACAGGGAGGGTAAAATGTGTGTTTTTTATGTTAACAGTTTATGTAAAATAATAAAAAATAAATGCATTTTCAAAATTTGATTAAAGTATGTTCATAAACAAGCAAACTACAACAGTTTACTTATTCTCCATATAAATAACATTATGAATTTTAAATTTATTTTTTTTTTTAATTTTTTCCGTAACCATTAGGCGCATAGTCACGCTTCGATATACTAAATTATTTAGTTTTTAAGCTCTACAAAATGGTTTGGAAAGAAATTGCAAAATTTTATGTTTTTCGGGTTAACAATGGGGAAAACCAATTTTCACCCCATAAACCCCCGTTCCAATAGTCCGATCCTGCTGATTCGCGAACTCGTTTGAATAAATGTAGGTTTACACGTTTATGCCAAATCTCATCAAAATCGGATCATTTTTGCTCGAGTTATCGTGCTGATGGACACACATAGCTGCTGAATCACGAACAACCCAAATTCTCCAAAACTGGACTCATTTATCATCGGTTGATATTAAAATGATTTTGCTTGAAAACCTCAACAGTAACCATCGATTTCGATGGGGTTTCTTACTTCAATTAAAGATGCATTTCACTAGTTCTAATTACATTATATTATTTGCTTGATATCCAAAACAGTTTTGTTAATTTCTAACTAAGTTCGCTTTTACGACCAACTTTTGATCAACTGTTATGTGTGAAATTCCGTCGAGTCTTAGCAAATTATTGGTTTTACTGTATAAAAATAAGAGACAAAAACATAAACAAAGAAAGAAGATTGAAGATTACCTTCTTTCCTAGTCTCTCCAAAGTCACACAGCTTGATGGTGCTGAGATCAGCAGCGAAGACCAGTATATTCTCTAGTTTGATATCCCGGTGGACCAGCTGCTTGGAATGAAGGAACTCCAGAGCGGAGCACAACTGACGAGCTACCTTCTTGCACGAAGTCTCTGGGACTCCGCCCGCCCGGACCACGCCGCTCAGGTCACCCAGGGGGGCGTACTCCTGCGCGAACACCCAGCAGTTGGCTGCCTTGAACGCCACCGGGTAGGAACACAGGATGTTGGGGTGTGGACTCAGGTGGTAGCTGTAGTGGAACTCGCGGTAGAAGTCTCTGAAACATCAAGTTGACATGGTGTGATTGATGACATGTTACACCTGGAAGAGAATTTGTTTGAAAACGTTGAAAACTCTACATAATATCTCTGATATATGTACTGGTTGAAAACCATTAATCTTTGCTATTTGAGTATACATTATTTTTTCTTAAACGTTCGAGCTAGGAATTTAGAAATTTTAAAGATGCATAATTGGCTTTTAGTAATAAAATAATGTACTCCCTTTCTCCACAATATAACTAATTTTCTTGCGGTTTTGTGGCTAGACACACGTTTCTTTGTAACACCCTAATAGTCCAGTAAATCTGTCAGAAAATATGGGGTTGCTGTGCAAAAGGTCGGGTAGTTCTGATTTTTGGATATGTTGTTAGTATTGGGCCCATAACATAAAATCCAAGTTATCCACCTCGAGATGCTGCCGCTCGCCGCGGGGCGCGCCACTTGTTATAGAAATATAAAAAATATGGCAATTCCTAGTGTTTTTCACTCAATCTCGCGAACCGTTGATTTTACCGAAAATTTTACATTATTAAATTAAAGAAGAATAAATTTGTGACAGTTTAAGCCCAACAGCAAGTATGTAGCGTAAATAATGGTCAAAATACAGACCATCAAAATAAATAAATTTTCCAAAGACCGATAAAAATTGTGGGGTTTTCAATATTTCCACAATATAGTTGTTTGAAGCAAACACCGTATTGATTTAGAGAGTATGCCAGTTTATTTGCTATGAATGGAAAATAAATGAAAGTATGAATAAAAATACCCCTACCTCAGCAAACCTGCAGACTAAGCGAATTTCCATTTGCTTGATTTGATTTTCACAAACCTATTTAAATAACATTAGGTTTAACTGGTGCCTAGGTTTGCTGCTACAGGGAGGGTAATATAGTATATAAAATAATAATAGTATGATAAGAAACAAATAAATTAACCCAATTTTATAAAAATGTGTCTATAAATAAGGAAAAAAACAATAATAAAAATCTTAGCTATTGGAATAACTTGAGGTTTTTTAATTTACATTTTTTAATTTTCTCAGTAACCAATAACGTAAAAAACATTTTAATGTACTAAAGTATTTGTTTTTAAGCTCTACAAAATTCTTTAATGATACAATTGTAAAATTGTATGTTTTGAGGGTTAAAAATGAAAAAAAAATATTCTTACCGGCAAAATACCTATAAAGCAACCGTTCTTAAGGCCTTATCATGCTTTGCGAACTCGTTTTAATAAATAAATGTACGTGTGCATGATTCAATGATTCAATGATTTATATAGGCCATTAAGCAAAAGAAATAGGCCAAGTAACTTACAATACAAAGTAAATGATAAATAGTCCATCTCTTATTTTTATTCACAAATAAAAGTAATGTTTGTACCAAATTCCACTAAATCGGATGATTTTTGGGAATCATCGTGCTAACGGACGATAATAACTTTTTTGGATACAGTTTAGTAAAATCTTTAGTTTTTTTGGATACAGGGTCTCCAAAAAACTTACCTAGTTTGAAAATTTATTTATTTATTGTATTAGATACAAACTACTGTACAACGACTGATACCGTAGAGAAGGCTATGCTGATACATTAAATGAAAGGTAATAAAATAAAAGTTATTTTAACACTATCACACCTCAAAATGCGAACCATTTGTAGCCCTGCAGACATGCAAGCTATTTTTACTCATTTTTATCATTAATATTTTATTATTTGTATTATAATTTATTACCAAAACTATGTTCAAGGTCAAATAGGTGTACGCAACTCATTGCCAACGTACGAAACTAAAACTTTAAAGTATACTCTACACAGCACGAAATGATTATTACTCATCCATTTGAACAATAGTATCGTGAGGTATGTTTAAAACTATGGAGTCTTTTTCGGACACCCGGTATATATATATTTATATATGTTATACAAATTTGAACCAACAGTATTTTTGGCCTCCAGGAATACCAAAATGAAAAAGTAAATTGGTCCCGGGTCTAGGTCTTACCACGAGACCTACTGTAATAGCGTATTCCCTTTAAGGAAAATTTGCTAATAATCAGCATATCATTTATATTGAATGGTGTGTGTTGAGGAAACCACTATTGAATCTTTTCATCAATTTCGTTGTCTCGAGCAATGCGAGAATGGCGCACGTCAACATGTTGCTCACTGTTAATGTTCAACTGACGTAATTTTTTATAATATTTCTCAACTTCCTACAGATTTGATGAGGACGGATCATCCCCAGCGCCCATCAAGTTACAACATTTTGTCTGTTATCCCTCGTCCCCGAGTCAATCCACCAGAGCTTTTCATTGTCTTTATGAGGGCCTGTTCGATGGCCTAATCAGACCAAATTCCACACCAGAACTTGTCTGTACGTCTTGTAGTGAAATTTCCTATCTTTGTGAATTTTTTGTGTTCTTCAATATCAATCCTGTATTTCAATTCATATTCAGCATGTTCTGTATAGATGGGCGCACTTGGCGTGGAAAAATTACCCGCTGCATGAAAGATCTGTAGAGTGATTGTAATTGGAAGATCTTATTTGCCTGATCTTTCAGCCTCAATAAACTGTTAACTTTGTTAAACTGTTTTATTTTATTTTCATGTGAAAGTATCGTACCCAAAGCTTAGCTTAAATGTTTATGTATAAACATTTGACAGCTTTGATAAGAGTAGTTTTGCCGTTGAAGGTATATTTTGAAGGTCTGTTTTTCGGCATGTAAACCTACATTTATTAAAACGAGTTCGCGAAGCATGATCATTGAAGTATAAGACAAAACTTAGGAAATTAATTTATGTTTTTAGAAACGTACGCGAAATTCTTAACATTAATGAAATAAAAATGTTATACTATGCATTTGTCCAATCGGTACTTCAATATGGAAGTATGGGGAGGAGCTAGTAGCAATATTTTAAAGCCACTGTTTGTCATACAAAAACTAATTATTAAAATAGCTTTTTAATTCAACAGGCGTTTCCCTACAAATTTATTATTCAAAAACACTCAATCACTTTCGGTGCGTCAACTTTTTATCAAAACTTTACTTGTATATACCTACTCCAATCAAGATTTAATAGTGACGCCAATCACACATAACTATCCCACCGCAAAAACTGTAAATGTAGGTATGCAGGTACCCCGAGTTTTCAAGTCTGCAAACCTTACCAATGCTTTTTATATTGCGAATTTTTTGTATAGGAATATACCATCAGAGATTAGAGATCTAAAGATATCTCTTCCAGTTTATAAACGTTCGGTAAGCAGTTGGCTGTCGGAGATTGGGCTCGATCAGTCTGAGACACTTATCAGTTCAGTATACAATACGTACACAAGTACACCAAACAATATTTAGCGTACAGACATTAGTAACTGCAACTCCATTCACTCGACTACCTTTTACTTAGCATTAACTGTTCCTGTAGCTGTCTCATAGCTTAGTTGTAAATAGTATTTTGATTAATTTAGTTTTAACTTTTAAGAATATTTCTAATTTGATTTGTAATAGAGCTCGTCCTGCGCATAGGTCTTTTACGGCCTATTCGGGACTATTGTTCGTATTTTGTATATGTATATATTGTAAAAAAATTTTTGGAAATAAAACAGATTTTGATTTGATTTGATCAGGCCATGGGAACGGTTGCTTTATGGGGTTTTTTTGTTAAGAACGGGGTTTTCGTATTTTTGACCCTTAAAACATACAACTTTACAATGTATCTCTAGACCATTTTGTAGAGCTTAAAAACAAATAATTTAATACATTAAAATGTTTTTTTACAGTTATTGGTTACGGAGAAAATTAAAAAATGTAAATTAAAAACCCTCAAGTTATTCCAATAGCGAAGATTTTTTTATTATTGTTTTTTTTCCTTATTTATAGATACAGTTTTATAAAATTGGGTAAATTTATTTGTTTCTTATCATACTATTATTATTTTATATACTATATTACTCTCCCTGTAGCAGCAAACCTAGGCACCAGTTAAACCTAATGTTATTTAAATAGGTTTGTGAAAATCAAATCAAGCAAATGGAAATTCGCTTAGTCTGCAGGTTTGCTGAGGTGGGGGTATTTTTATTCATACTTTCATTTATTTTCTATTAAAAGCAAATAAACTGGCATACTCTCTAAATCAATACGGTGTTTGCTTCAAACAACTATATTGTGGAAATATTGAAAACCCCACAATTTTTATCGGTCTTTGGAAAATTTATTTATTTTGATGGTCTGTATTTTGACCATTATTTACGCTACATACTTGCTGTTGGGCTTAAACTGTCACAAATTTATTCTTCTTTAATGTAATAATATATAGTTTTCGGTAAAATCAACGGTTCGCGAGATTGAGTGAAAAACAATAGGAATTGTCATATTTTTTATATTTCGATAACAAGTGGCGCGCCCCGCGGCGAGCGGCAGCATCTCGAGGTGGATAACTTGGATTTTATGTTATGGGCCCAATACTAACAACATATCCAAAAATCAGAACTACCCGACCTTTTGCATACCAAAATGTCTTTTTTTACTGGACTATAATGAAGTTTGGGAAATATTATGTGCAAAGTTTAATGCATGAGTGAAGATCGTTGCAGATTGTTCTAGAAATGGTTAGGTTGAAGGAAAAATAAATATGATTAGAAAATTTTAACATTACCGGTATGTATAGTTATTTAAGAAGTGAATATTAGTACACCCACTCATTATTATTCTATCGTTTGTTGATTCACAAAAATCATGCGATCGATCACATAATTGCAATAACTATATGAAAAGTGTTCAAGCCCACCTAGCTATTTTTCTAACTAATTCCAACACTGTATCGACTACATTGAGGTTTGTCTCACCATTGACTAAGGTATATATTCAATGATTTCACATACTTGAGTGTGGTGAGTTCTTCATGGATCATCTTGAGCACTACACTAGTCCCGGTTTGTTTGTGAGTAGCCAACACTATCTTGGCGAAGCAGCCTTCTCCCAGGTCACGGTCTACCTCGTAGTCCGTCTCCAGGTCGACCTCCTGCAGAGGACATTCCTGTATGCGGTGGAGGCTGCTCTCCTTAGCCCGGTCCGCCCTCATCCTGCAAACGCAACAAACAACAAACTTAGATAAGTTATTACACACAAACATAAACAAACAGAAACTATTATAAGACACTGTAAAAAGTAGGCATACCGTGGTTACAAAAACTACGGTACAGCTTACATGTACAATAAAAAGGTTTATACCAGTCCACCAGGACAAGTACGCTTCTTTCTGTGACGTGGTCATTGGTCATAGTTTATAGTGTTTTACAGTCCTTTTGCTAGGCACTATTTGCCACCATGGTGGAATTCCACCATGATTTGCCACATGTCCCTGTGAATTCATACTATAAAAAATCGTTTTAAATACTATTGTTTAATTATCAAACGCGGTTTGGTGCACGTTTATGTTTGCACATTTGACCCGATTATAAGATAGAATTAGGCTCCACGAAAACATTTCAAGTAAACCCTGACGTTTAATTTGTCGTAAGTAGATTAGTATAGAACACATTTGATTGCTTTGTACACTGTACAGAGTAGTGTCATTTCAAAATTTTAAAATTTTTATTTTTCAGTTACCAACGTTTCAAATTGTTGATAACTTTAATCGTCCCCAGTCCATTGTCAATGGCAAAAAATAACAAAAATAATTAAATGAATTTTGATGAAAAAAATAATTTGAGTTATAAAGACGAGTTAAAACTTTTAGACGATTGTCTCTGCGATATCAAACTTTTAAAACTCAACCTCGCTCACTCTTTCAACCTTTCGAAGGCTATCATTTTTCAAACTGGTAAAAGTTGTCATGATTACAATGATTATCTACGTAATACCAATAGTCATTGAACAATTTAAGCTATCTAGAAACCATAAATAGGATCCTAATAAATATAAACAACTAAAACTTTTAAATTGTTGATAATCAGCTTGGGAAAGCTAATTTCTTTCCCCTCCACTCAAATTAGAAGTAGGCAAATAGAAAACCCAATTCCTGTGAAGTTTGACAAATTCGATTGTTACTTTTAATGTCTTAAGCTATTTTATTACTTTTTATTCCTTGTTGAGACTTTTGGCACGTTTTGTTTCAGTTTATTAAACGAAAATGTACAAATTCCGACCATTACGATGTATACAGTTCGTCTGGAAACGGTGCCAAGGGTGCCAAGTTAAACGCTAAGTTCAGCTCTAAACAAACAAGAGGAGCGAAAATAAAAACCGCTCTCTGGTAATTCATTACCAACATCAGGGACTGAGTCACACACGTTGGTGCTGAAGTTATGTATGTGGAGTTTGTTGAAGGTTTTATGTAATTAATAGAGGTGGTTGCACTGTCATCGAGCCAAACCCGTCTGCGTGTGATTCTTGAATACGTATATATTTTGGAGCAGTATTTTTCGGTTTTAAACTACTAAATCCTTGATTACACCTTATGAAGTTTATTTATTGGAACTTGTTGTTGGTTCATTTATTATATTTACAAACACCTTGTAAATTAAATTTTGTTAAGTAAACAATACTTTTAAGTTGGGTTCCTTTGTTATTGAGGACCTTTTTAAGAGTATTTTAAAGCAAGAATGAATTTTCATCGATGCAATTTTAACCGATTAATTTTAAGGAGGTGGCGGATAGAAATCATAAAGGTTTACACTTTCTAAACGGCCTATGCCTTTTGAATTCTCTTAAATTGGTATGTATGTTCTTAAAAGTTTTGAACGGATTATATTCTGTACGTTAAACCTTTTAAAAATACGTTGTCTTATTTTTGATTTTGGGGATTTAAAGCACACCAACTACTCTGCCCTTTCAGAGAGTAAAATTTCAATATGTTTTCTTGAATGAACAATTTTTGATTCTAAACTAATCTTAAAATATTTTTCTTGATTCTTCATAACGTGATTTACATATATATAATAAATCAATGACAATACATATTTAAAACGTGTTTGTTACAATTGTTACAACTTGTAAAACAACACCCTAAACTACAATATTGCGTTTAGTACGTAAACCAAGGTGCAGAAAGTACAGAAAGGTCTACAGTTAGTATTTTCATTCCATATTTTCGTTGGAGATTATCCTCTCTCTACATTTAGGTTGGTTTTCTTTGAAAATAAAAGTGACGTATTTTTTCAACAATATCGATACCCACTTCTCCCAAAGGTGCATCCACTAGGGCTACCCATTTATTTGAGATTCGCAAAAATAATATAAGGAAAGATATACAAATTTGCGATAGTTTACAATATAGTATTGATAAAAAATTTTAATGTGCAGTTGATCAAGTCATAAATAATATTTTCATAAATAAAAGGTTCATATTTAAGCTACTTTCCTACGCAATGTTTTGAGATAAGCATCATATGGTGATTTTGAATTTCGGTCAATATAATGTTCAATATAAAACATTTGGAAAAGTTTTGAAACAGCTACATTACATTCGTCTTCCAAACCCTGCTAAACATATCGAACTTGACATTTCACCGTAACATCGCTCAAACAAACCAAGGTTTTCTTAACACACATAGTGACAAATGATCTAATTATTCACAGGTTATTTTAGTACTGGTAACATTTAAACTGAATACTGAAATAGATTGGTATAAAACAATTTATAAGTTATTTAGTAGCAAATGCGAGACAACACTTTTAGTTAACAGAGTTTATATAAGTTGAGAAGCATAACGTCAACAACAGGCGTGTAATGTTCAAGCGAGAGTGGCTAACTTAGTTATAAACTAGAGTTCAACTTTATCAGCTTGCATGCATTTATGTTAACTAAATAAACTATCTAAGAGCAGAGAATCTCAAAGTCAAATTAAGTCAGAAAAGATGTTGATGACATCAATAAAACTGCAATTACAGTGATTAAAATTCAAATACAAGTTTCATTTATGATAATCAGGATCTCCAATAGCTACTGGATGGAGTTTCCCACCTATTTGCTCTGTATCAGTCAATGTCCCGGTGATGAATGACTTGTCAAGATTTGATTAACCAACTGCCACATCCTCAACTCCCGCCAAAAATTAGTTTGCTTTCCCGCCACATTAGTGAGCTGACACTTGATTTAATTACTGTAGGGTTATCAGAAAATCCAGAAGTGGAAGGAGAATTTTTAGTTTTGAGCGTAGGCCTGCATGTGTTATTTTTGGCTTTACGGATAGGTTAGAACGTTAAAAAATAAAATGATAGATGTTGATATGCTGATTTAACGCTATAGAACCTAGAATCACGACATCTTGCTACACTCTGTTTTCATAAAGGAGATAATCAATAAGAAAGATTTTTTTCGGAATTCCCTTCGGGATCCTACCTATAGCTACAAGCTGCAACACATTTGGCATGGGGATTTAATTACCGTTAGATCAGTTGATAAACTAATTTTCAATAATCTTGTTTCCAAAAATTTGTCAACAACAGTGATATTTTAAGTAGGTTTGCAAAATGCATGATACATTTGTGTTTGCCCATTAAAAGGTGTTCTGGGTAGTAGAGAACCAGGTCCAATAAAAAAATAATTCAACACTTAAGGTTGAATGCTGAAGAGGTTGTTCTTATGAAGGTTGAAAATACGTATTTGAAGTCAATAAATTAATAATATGAATACGATCACACGTGTTTACAATTCAATGGATACGCCAGTAAAATTGCCTCGTCAATCTCCCAATTTGAGATATTTTCATCACGCAACTGAAAACATCTAATAAATTTCGTTTCTGACAGAATCTCGGCAGAAACACGCTTGTAAAATCTATGCAGATTTCTCCGTCTTATGACTCACTTAAAATTTTACACCCTCTATTTTTCACACTACTATTTTACACGGACAGCATGAAAACAGGCGACCATAACATAAACCCGACTTGATAACTTGAGTGGTGTTATTGTGCTCAGCTACTTAGCAGATTCTGTGTTTTACTGCTGAGCTTTTCGCCAGTTTCCTGTATTAACCAGACTGTAAACTTGTCTAAAGATAGAACTGTTTGGATCGTCCAGTTAGAGACGACCAGTCGTAACAACCTCGACGTTACACTCTCTCGGCAACTCAGCAGATTTACACTTTCCAGATGAGTGAGAATTATTAAGGCTTAACTATAAAGATGGTAACCGAGCCATTGCGAGTGAAATATTAAATGATATCCTTGCTATGTTGTTGAGGCTTACGAATATTTTTAACACTTAACTGAAAACAGTTACCAATATTATGATAAAATGTATTATTATTGCAGTAAAACGGTGTTGGAAAGTGATATACTTCCTGATTTAGGGTAGATATTCGGCTTGTCGACGATTAAAAAAAAACTTATCAAAACAAAACTCTCAAACAGAAGAAACAGATCCTGACTAAAGCTATTACATTTAAATACTACAAAGGGTGTTAACATCCTATCATTAACTGAAAATTCTTTTGGTGAGTGTTTTACCTAATCGCGTAAAAATGAGTGTGTCGAGTTGACAGCTATTGTAGTTTAAACACAGCTATTATATATCTAAGATCAATTTAGGCAGGCAGAATACCCTGTTTATTGTATGAAATTTCAAAATAAAATGCGTAATAAATCTTTTGAAGCAGGCTTCTGTTTTATAGAATGTCGCATATAACAAATCTATCGAAGGGTTCATTGTAAGACCTGAACCCGGGACCGATTTACTTGTTCGTTTTAGTTCCCCCATAGGCCTGTAACAATCATCCGATTTTAATAAAATTTGGTATAAGCATGTATATTCCTATGTGTAGAGAGAGAGGAAGCATATATACAGTATATATTTACGAGTTTTTGGTCTCTGGTGACATAAAAACGAAGAAGTAAAGCAGTCCCGGGTCCAGGTCATCATGAGACCTACGGTAATAACTCATTCCCGATATGGGAAAACATTAAAACTGTAAATTTTAAATCCTCATGTTTTTGCTCTGGAGAATAAATAAAACTGTTGTAATTTGCTTGTTTGTGGATCCATGTTTGCCTCCTGGATTGATAAAGAGTACTAATAGTAATAGGTGAAGTACCTTATTTACGTCTTCAATCCAAGTAGTTTTTTATGATGACTATAGTTTCGGGGCCAAAAGATCAAATCCTTCTTGTTAAATTACTGTTAATAGCATTGGTCATCGTTGAAGTCCACATATACACACACACTGACACACGCAAACAAGACAGAAGATTTGACAATGGGGGTGTTGGCCCCGAAACTATAGTCATCATAAAAGACGACTTGGATTGAAGACGTAAATAAGGTATTTGACCTATTATAATTATTAGTAATATTGTTTGTGGATATATCATTTGAAATTTGGGTTATTTATTTTAACTTCCGAAGTATTCGCTTAGAGTTATATATTATTTTAATATAGACAAAAAATATGTAATATGTAAATATGTAATATGTTGTATATATGTAATTCAGATATATATTTAAGTAAAGCTCCATTCCCGCAATAGGAAATTCGCTAAGTCTGCATGTTTACTGCTGCAGATTCATTTAAATAGGCTATGTGTTTTGCAAATATAAATAACAATTTTTCAAATTTTCAGTTGTTATAGGCTTTTAAACTAAAAATTTGACGAAACATTTTTTACAGTTTATACTTTTTACTGGATATTTTGCAAGTAACGCAGTGGTAATGGAAATAGCACTAACAGGATTTCAGAAGTTAAATAAATGCAGCAACATATTAACCTTCTCATTGGGTATGATAGAATACATTAACAAACACATTTAAAATATAAGCTTGTTAAAAAAATAAAACCACGGATATTTAACAATCTAGTCCACAGAGATTTGTCGAATTTGTTTAGTTTTGTGAAGAAATTTTCTGCAATAATAACAAGGAATAAATAATTTTGAAATTCCAAACGAGCTGTAGTTAAACTTGACGATTAGTTCACATTTAAAACTTTGGTGCTGGGGACGTATTAATACGTTCATTATAAAACGTATCAAGAAAGTGCTTAAAATATAAAATTAGTTTAACGTTTCACTGCAATTCAAACTAAATCTCTACAGACTAAATCTCTTGGTTGTCTACTAAATGGTGATAATTATTCTTAACATAATTACACATTAAATACAAAAATAAATGTGTAGGTCTTGTAGGTGATATAATATTGTTTTAACTAAATTGTTATTGATATATCTATTATGTCATTATTCTAGGCTAAAATACAAACAAACCAGTATAATTGTTGCAATTAATTGTTCCATTATTAATCATTTTTGTAAAATCTCCATGAAGAATCTTTTTACTAAATTTAACGATAGTAACCCAAACACTGTGCTGAAAATTTTAACGTTAATCCTTATATCCTTATAAATAATACGCGAAGGTGATTTCTACGAAACACTACTCATCCGTTAATAGTGGATGGATATTTACAAACGATGTTTCAAAATTAAGTATTCTTTGTGTAGACACCCCATTTCACCAATTCCTGTAAAAAAATCCTCGGGCTTTGCCCCACAGGCTATCAAATACCAATGACGAAAAAATTTACTAACCCTGCTGTTTAATAAACCTTACTTCGTGGAATTTGTCAAGTGCCAAGATAGTTTGCGTCGTGTGTACATGTTGTTAGTTGAATATAAACAAACAACACATGGTTTAATATAAATCAAGTATTGGGATGGATACAAATTAATATCAGAATTCAATTACATTTTCTGTAGATTTTTAAAAACCGAAATATTCTTTCCTGTATTCTCATTCCGTAGCGAAGCACGGGCAGAGCAACTAGTTGTTAAAAAAATAGTGATGAAATCAAATGTTTTTGTTCTAATTAATAGTTTTATTTTAATTTAGTATAATTTTAACACTGGACATAAACTGAAAGACGAAAACATAGTCTATTAACATACAAATAAAAGGATAACAAATCAGTTTCGTTATACTAGACTTGTTGTTCCTTATTTTTTACACTCCTCTCCACTATTTTTAAACCCTACGAAAATCTACCATTGTCTCATACGAAATAAACACTTAAATTCGATTTTATAAGTTCGTAAATCTTCTTTTATTCTTAAATAGCTTTGATGTCAATAACAAAATTACAAGTAAGAATATAAAAAACGTTCATCATTGCAATATGTACATGAATTTGATACTATTGTTATTGTTTTGAAAACTAATTTGGATATCTATATAATTTCAAGTATTCCAAGTAAGTTCCTGGTGCGCATCGTTATGTTTTATCCTGCTCAAAAAATTGTAGTTGTAGTCAGGTTACAAAATAAAATGTTTATACAAATGTTAAATGGAGGTTGTTAACAAAATAATTGAATTTAATCAATAATTGAAATACAATATATTATGAACGAAATGACAACTAAAATTGCTTATTATATTGTTGTAAACGATTTCAGTAAATTATTTATGGTAAATCAAATTTTTTATTAAAATAGGATTCGGTAAATAACATCATTTCATAGCCTTAAATGATCTGCAACACTTTATTATTATTCTGCTGGATAGTGGCATCATAATGTTTATAAAACACAAATGATGTCTACCTGGTGGGACGTTAGTGGAGTAGGACGTCTCGACGCCACTGATCACTGTACGACGCCGCTCACTGACTGACACCACCACTGCTAGCACAGCGCCGCGACGCGCCGTCGGGGGGCGGGCGATGCCACCCAACACCTGCTGATAGTTAGTGGTTACATGTTAAGATATAAAACAATTAATCTAAATACAATTTCAATTTAAATGGATCATTACTTAGTGTTAAAAAACGGGTAAAATCCACTCAGAATCGGCATCCAGTAAAATTTAATAAAAAATATATTATATAAACATAAGAAAATAATAGTTAGGCGTATTTGTGTAAATAGTGGGCGAAGTGGCAGATTGCTGCATACAAGAGACTCGTGTGGAGAGTTTATCGAGTGCAGAAAAGGCAATTTGCACTCGTGTTACACATTATATTTTTCCTACAGTTACTATAAACCATTACCATTAACTAAACAGTCTTTCAATCACTGTACAACACGTTTTTAGGTTAGGTTAAATCCAAACATTGAACGTAATGGGAAACGCTGTACCAGTGTTTGGTAGACTGTATGTTTTGCCGATGTCTTGTACACTTTGAGAAATTTGGAGGGGGAAAAATAATAAAAAAATAAAAAAAATAAAAATAAAAACAACATCATGGGCTTTACTATTTTAGTGTACAAAGCCATTTTTGTCGAGAATACTTTGAAATTACTCGGTAATTTTCATTTAAAGTGAAAACCATCCTTCAAATGTTATTCTTATGTAGTAAAGCCTAAAGTAGGTGTTTTCAAACACGTTTACATTTTAAATAGTTATTTTGACGTGTAAAGAAAATATGGAAAAATAACAAAACCAATAATTTACTATAGAGTTTAAAAATTCCTTTAAATTAAGAAATAGGCCTATGACAAATCCATGCAATTTTGCCATGTAAAAATCGTGAAATCATTATTTGTTTGGTTGTTATTCAGCGGCTGAGAGTAAGAACGAGGTTTTTGGTCTTTGTTGACATAAACGCCTTTTTATTACTTTTTAACACAAACTGGTCGATATTCAAAAAGATTTAGTGACAATATTTGTTGATATACCGGCAAAATTACTTCCTAACTTTCAGATAATATTTTCTAATAATAACGTTCGTTAATCAAAAGAAACAGTCTACTTCTCATGTGCTTATCAGTTAAGACATTAATAAAAGCGAAATTACCTTAAAATTTTCAGTTATTATAATACAAATATTTTTCATTCGTTTTCATGTGGAATAAAAGGTGAAAACACATTATTGAAGACCTTTGTAGATTTAAAGGAAACTTTAGAGAATTTTTATTAAAAGAAAGGGATTTTTCAGATATATCAATACCATGGTTGTTTAAACTTACATTACCTCATAGTATTAGTGCAGCGGTACTCCGAGTGAGTCTTTCAAATAGTTCTTTTCTTCTCTTTCTTTTAAATAGTTGCTATTGACCAATGATACTTGATAGTGTAACTATTCGTTGTTATAATATACTTTTCCAAATGATCAAGGTAACTATCTACTGGTTAATCTATTGGGTAATTGTCAAAAAATATCAAGGAAATGTTGGGATTTTGCGTGATATCTTGGGTCTAAAGTGTGCAGACAAAAGTGTTATTTATTTATTGTGGTTTGTACATTTTTGGCAGTGAGCGCTGTTTTTGTCATTAAAAACAAGTCATGTTATCTTTCGCTAAGTAATGCTAACCTCTTGTTGTGTACCATTACCAATCAAGTTAGACACTAATGATGACGGGGACAATGGAATTAGCTTTAACTCCTCGGAAGCGATTCATGGAAATCGTTCCCGAACTTTTTTGGTTGTGCAAGATTAATGGTATATTCAGTAGCTTTTGGTAATACAATATTCTAATAATTGCATTACGAATGTTTTTGTTCACAAAATGCTCGTTATAAATTGCAATTGAAGAGGTTTTAAATAAAACCTGTAATCGTAATAGTGTTTCATAGAAGATAAATTATAAAATGAAATTCAGTGTTTATATTGGCGATTGCACAACAAAATATAACTGGCGGAGTAGATAAAGTAATGTTTAGGTATACCTCTTTGTCAATGTTGTGCACCTTGTCTCAAAGGAGCTGTTAAAAAAGCACAATAAAATTAAAATTTGGAGTTCTGGCACATAATACAATGTTCAATATTTATTTATACTTAACGCATAAGATAGTCTTGCAAACTGAGTTACTTGACCCATGACACTAAAACATAAAATAAATTGGGGGCGATTTATTGTTGTTCGTCTCGTATAATCAAAAAATTTCATCAAAAGCTGTAATAAGGGGTAAGGGTACCCCATATGTTTGAACAACACATTTTGTATTATATTAAAACGTCTTGTGGATTATGCTTAAATATCATTTTTACTTAAACGGATTCAATTTTTAAAGTAAAAATATCAATGGGATCCAACCAACATTGGGCAGGAAACTTTAAAGAATGTAAACATAACTAAATGCATTGTGTAAGCACGTATAAGCCAGATATGAATGAGCAATTAACCGCGTGGACTAGGTGGGCTGACTTGTAACTTATGACTAAGATCAACTGACTCTTAAGCCCACTTACTTATAAGCAAATCCTTAAAAGTCCCAATTATGAACGGTCACTGAGTAAAGTCTTAACATGGATTACCACTCCCACATTTAATGGATTAGCTGAAGATAGTTAAAAGGCGTTTTTCTGTCCAGGTTATGTGGAGGGCGTTTAGTTGTTTATTGTCGTTTCTAAAAAAAAAAACTTAAAATATTTTAACTGAATACAATAGTAAACTGTTGCTTATCCTATGGTATATTCATCGAAGAAAAACACAAATTGTAAGATCCAGTACTCACCAAAATACAATTTAGTTGGTGTTTGCATATTTCAACGTTATTTAACTAAATTACTACATAGGCATCAACATATTCTTAAGGTTGTTTGAAAATATGATGAGAACTCTACTTGCACTATTTAAATTCAATGTTTGTTCTTTCCTAATATCTTCATTCTTAACAACAAATTTCCCCTTTTTGGTTCGAACTATACCGGATATATATGGCTGATGAACACACCCTTGTCTTAGTCAGCAAGTAACAAAGCTGCACACAGAAACTCACAAATCTTCATTCTAAACTTATATTTGAGTTAAAACACTCCTAGTGAGTTGCCCAAACTGAATTTGGTCATAGTAAAACATACCGATCAAAAAGTAAGCTCATTGTCTATCAACAAACGCATTCCTGCCAGATATCTTTTCTACATTGCCAAACATTGTTATTCATTCATCAGTAAACCAAGATAAGTAGTTTCTAGAACACCTGGAGGCTATTTGTAGCGGCAAGCAGTGCTTGACGAAGCTGAAGGGTGAAGAGTGAAGAGTCCAGGCCTCATTACATGAAGAGGACTCCAGATGTCACAACCGGAGGTTAAAATTATAAACCTCTCCGGTAAAATTAGGACTCTCGGCGAAATTAAAATTAGGCCTGCGTGAAAATACTCTTGGCAATGGTCAGGGGTTGCAACACCGGGCGGTGACCTAGGTTGTTGACTGTGTGACACACATGTTCCCAAACAATAGGGTGATGACAGCAGCGGTCGGTGACTGGCAAATATTTTAGGAGAATCGGAATATTTGTTGTTGAAAATGCAAGAGAGTGTAAGATATTCTCTCACGGAAAGACTTGGGTACAAATCCGCCAATCCAATAAGTTTTAGCTGTGCGACACATTGAGCTGTATAATTCTTACGAAGGTTAGTGCATTTTTATATTCTTTTTTTATTTGAAGGATATGAGCAGTTGGCCACCCAGGCCCTTAATTATAGGTGCCCATACTCGGGTTCAATTCCCCAATCACCTAATGCTTGCAGTTATGTGATAGAGATGGCTCGAAGTGCACCTTCGAATGTGTACCCACATACCTATAAAAAAAAAAAAAATAAAAAAAAAACTCCTCTCAGATGAAAAGAAGTTTTTCTGCATTGGAGACCTCTCTCCACTAGTATAATTCATTTTACTATTAATCACTGAAGTCAAATCTCTTTAATACAATATGAAGTCAAATACGTTTTGATACAAGTTTTGATGGTAGAAGTGGTATGCAGTCTGAGATCACTGATTGGTGGAGTTGTGGGGTAACTATAATTAGCTTCTGCTACATGTGATCCCCGGGGTAATTGATTCTCCCACACTGTGCTGATACATCGGCCCTGCACTTGCTGATTAAACCATCCACCTTTCGGTCATCAGTCATCAGTCTCGTGCGACCTACGTACACGCGAGGGTGGAGTTAAAAATCTCTCCAACCTTTGAGTAGTTAATTTGCAGAAATGTATGATTGTGAATGGGTTATCATGTGGGTTTCAAGAGATATAGTGTTTTGTGCATGGATCAAAAGTATACCCTTACCTGCAGACTAAGCGAATTTCCATTTGACCGATTGGATTACAGCATAAGATACATTCCCTACCAGCCGTCATACTTTTATATATCTATGATATTTCCGAAGGGAAGCTAGTAAACTTCCTACAACATGTATTCATTACAACATAATGGGAATGGAAGAGGAACAAGAGCTGTCACCCATACTTATTACAAGAACTGTCGCTTGGATTGTAATGAACCAAATTTAACTTATTAATTGCAAACATAGATAACTCTAGGGCGAAGAGTAACAGTTAGATTTTTTTAATACAGTCATTACTACTCTATACATCGCTAAATCCAAGGCGCTTATTTATTTCACTCATACTATGCAGACTAGAAGCTCCGCCAAGAGAGCCATCAAAGAGCAATAGTTAACAATAGCTGATCTACAGCTTCACAACAAATTGAATGTTCCGTTCAAACGTCCAACTGCATATACAACCATGGCGAGAAACTATTACTTTCCAACCTACAAGCAAACAGTGGCTTGGGAGGTTCATTCCTCATTCCACATACTCCCGAGTATGGACCAAGCATCGATATATAACTACTACCCAAGTGACCAACTACCGGAAACTGTTTCAGTTATAGTAAGACTTAAGAGTTACCGTGATAAGAAAATAAAGTCTTCT